AGTCCCTGTGTTGTTTATACTTACTATCAAAATGTTTGACGTAAGAATTTATTTGGTATTATTCTTTGAACTCCAACATCTATTAACTTCACCAAAATCATTACGTTTCACTCACCCTTTATTTTATTTTAAAACAGTAATAGCAAAATATCTTACGCGTTGACCCTATATTTCTATTGCATAAATATTTTCCTTCACTATCTCTCTACACGCTCGGAAAATTATAGCAAAATTCACCGTGTTGAATTTTTGTTATTACACAATCTTTATTGCGATATCGCGCGATATTTGCATCAAATATGGACGTCAGAACGTAGAGAAAAATGACGTAAAATCGCAGACTATTGAGTAAATGTTAAAGAAAGACATCATTACAAAGACATACATTTACTGAACATTATAAAATTAAAATCATTGAAATCGGATGAAAATTGATAAGAACTGACCGGTTTATTGATAAAAAAGACGCAATTTCGCCGCCATCGATAGAAGGCGCTTTGACGTCATAGTAACGCTGTTTATTTATAAAATAATACTGCAGAAGTAAAGCTCACATATTTATATGTTTGCATACCAAAAATCATCAAGATCTGAGATGTTGTCATATTTCGGTCGGAAAGTAGCGAGCTACCTTAATATGCTATTGCTTGATTCTCTCTAAGAATAAATAAGATTGATATTGATTTAGGTATAGGGTTTGAATTTAATGTTCCAAATAGATTTCTTTTGATTTGTCGAAGTTGCATATGTCGAAGTTGCATATACACCATTTTTTATACTATAACCTTCTTTGCTATAAACCAGTACTTGTGCGTTAGACTATACACATGCATATCATTATGATTTAAGTAGTTTAAGTATGGTTTTTTCCTATTAACTGTACTATTGCACACATTCTTAACTTATAGCTACAAACACTCACTCTTCCTAAGATTGTTTTAGTACAGTTAAGAAAAAATTCACGTTTTGGCGTTTTGTTCTCAACCTCAGTCTGACTAAAAGCAATTTTCTCAGCATAACAGCGGCTCTCAATGTGGCCTTTTTATAACAATATAAACACCGGATGTCTTTGAAATTTGGTTTTGTACTTTCGTAAGAAGAGTTCATATTTGATTGAAACCTAGACTGAGTATCATATTTGAATTAGAACTGTATCTGTAATTGACAGCTACCGGCATTTTGACCGGCACTTCTTTTTTGGTTGATTTGCTCTGTGACGAGTCTCGAGATCATAATGTTTTCTATTTTGAGAATTAGACATTTCCTGAATGTTTGTTCAAATAAAGACCAAATCATTTGCTTTAAAGAGTATAAAGCTATATACCTGCTTCAAAGTTTATTGTTTGAATTTTAAACAAAATGTTTCTATGAAATAAACATGATAGATAAAAGCATGCACAAAATCATTGCTAAACGGATAAACCTAGCAAAATAATATTTTGTTCCTGTTTACATACATTATTCATGTGTGTAAAATAACAGAGACATTCTTTGTTACAACTTTTTCGGGAATCAATTATATAATAATGAAACCAATATAATTTTACTGTAAATAAATTTTATAAAAAAATATTTCGTTTAAGCTGCAATCAGTTTTTTTGTAAGTCTAAGGGATGTAACTGAACGTAAAGAAATAACGTTCATATAGAGCGATTTAACTCCCATGTTTCATGGGTTATACAAAATTGCAAAGTCGGAGTCTCACGTAGGTCCCGATCCGTAAAAAGCGTAAATTTGACTGGAAACACCTGATATTCTAAATATTAACAATTATGGTCTGAATATTATTGCAAAAATACCAGGTGACAGCATGTACTACGTGAAAGGCTTTATCGAAGAATGCACGGTTATGTTTTTTTTGTTGTTGTTTTTTTTTTGGTTTTTTGTTGTTGTTTTTTTTTTGTATTTTTTTGTTTTTTTTTTTTTTTTTTTTTTTTTTTTTTTTTTCTGTTTTTCAGTATGTCATGTTTACCTAGTTATAATATTTTTCGAGAATATTAATATACATAATTATAAAACTCTTATTTAATAGCGTTCTGTTTTTAAAAATATACTCATTTACATTACTTTTATTTCAGCTCTTTTACTAACATTCTTGTCAGTTGACGCCGCTAAAGTCTAGGTCCTCAGCAGGGGTTTGACTCTAAGGAAGGAAGGATGGATGGATGGATGGATGGAAGGTCGGACGGACGGACGGACGGACAGACAGACAGATTCATTATGAAGCGTAAAACTACAGTAATGCCGTTTCTTTTATTTTACTTTAAATTAGACATAATAATAACGTTAATATTTTATTCAAAATTCACAGTTTGATTACGTTTTTAATAAATTTGCTAGTATTAAAAATTGTCTCATCGAACGCAATCATTATCGATATACTTAATCAACACGAATCAACAATACACCATTCCTAAATTATATCTCTTCTTTTGCCATTGTTAAGCAGGCAGTACAAAGTTTCGGTCATTTAGTTTCGAATTGGCAAGGGTCAAATTTACAAATAAGAGACAATTCTGTAATTGAAGTGGATATTTGAGCTTCTAAATATTTTAAGTTGCTATATTGCAAGTTTAAGTGCCTAGTTATGTGTTTCAGTTATCTAGTTAAATTGATTTAAGTCGTGTTTGACCCATACATTTTGGGTATCACCTGTCAGATTCGAATGTATTATCCATAAAGCTAGCTCGGAAATCAGCTGTTCAATTTAACGGGTATACAGACGACATAAAATAGTGGGGGAAAAGCTGCATGTCTCCTTGTTTGAATTTTACTTTCAGATTATGCATTGTTTAAGAAGGAAGAAACAATGTAGCATCTGTTTTGATATATTTTTCATAATTCTCAAAAAGGAGTAATTCGCTATTTTTGTCATTACTTGTCGCGACAAAAAACAATGAAAAACACAGGGCTATGTGCCAGAAAACTAGAAGATGGACATGCATTTTAATTATTTGCTGTGAGATGCATATGAATATGCTAACTATGAAAAGCATATATTTCAGGTGTATGATAACAGACTTTTGTGCTAAGTTTTGCCGAGAAGTCTTGAAAACTGTGTATTGCCCCCTATAATACACGTCTAATATAGATAATCTGACTAACAATACACCTTTCCATGGTGGCTGATTTGTGCCATTCATGTTTCGCCCCGCGACCCCCCAAGCGAAAAGTCGAAAATTAACAAGTTAAAATGGCGGGGGCACGCAGCAAAAACACGCTAATTAGCGAGGGCGCGCGGCGAAGTTTTATTTATTTAACGTTGCCCCGCGCCCCCGCTAAATATCGTGTTTTCGTCCCGCGACCCCGCCGTTTTATTTCTTAAATCTCACTCCGCGCTTCCGCGGGGCGAAGTTTTATTTATTAAACTTCGCCCAGCGCCCTCGCAAATTAGCGAGTTTTCGCTGCGCGCCCCCGCCATTTAACATGTTAATTATCGACTTTTTGCTTGGCGGGGTCGCGGGACGAAAACACGCAAATTAGCAGAGGCGCGTGGCGAAGTTTTATTTATTGAATTTCGCCCCGCGACCCCGCTAATTAGCGTGTTGTGTTTTTGCTGCGCGACCCCGCCATTTTATTTCTTAAATCTCGCTCCGCGGCCCTGCGGACCGATGTTTTATTTATTAAACTTCGCCCCGCGCCCTCGCTAATTAGCGTGTTTTCGCTGCGCGCCCCCGCCATTTTAACTTGGTTATTTTCGATTTTTCGCTTGGCGGGGTCGCGGGGCGAAAACACGAATGGCACAAATCAGCCACCATACCTTTCCGAAATACTATTTTCACTGTTCTGTTTCCCGCGTTTTCTAATCCCCTTCGTTATAATCACAGGTAAACGTTGCGTGGTCATGACTTACACTATACCCCCGTTCCCCCTCTACAACCCAAAACCCTAAAAAAAAATTATGAAAAAAAAAAATTTTTTTATGACTAAAATATTATAAAGGTATTTTACTCTACTTTCATTTTGCATAGAAATATCACTAGCATCTCAATTATCAGCGCATATATTCATCAATTTTTCACCAATCTTAACAATCTTGGTCTCAAATCTTAGATAAATAAATACTTTTTAAGAAAACAGCACTGGCACCTTCGCTGATTATACGTAGCAAGAAATATCCAAGCCCAAACTGTCAACAAATGAAACTCGGAAGAGATCTGATTGCACCGTTTCGGAAAAAATCTCACGAGTAAAACACACTAAATTCACCGTGAAAGAATATTTCTTTGTATTGCATATTTAAATATGATAAAATTAAGTTATTATTTGTAATAATTGTTCAATCAAAGCATCTTATGAAACTATAACGCACCTTTTTTCCTATATGTCAAATTCTCAATCCAAAATGAAAGTAAATTGGCACAGCAGAGTTGTTTCCCTTTAAGTATTTTCATTGGTCCGAGGTTTTCCTGTGTCCAATGAAAATACTCCATTTGAAAACAATCTGCAAGCCCATTTTACTTTCATTTTGGAATGAGAATTTGACATATAGGAAAAAAGGTGCGTTATAGTTTCATAAGATGCTTTGATTGAACAATTATTATAAATAATAATTTAATTTTATCATATTTAAATACGCAATACAAAGAAATATTCTTTCACGGTGAATTTAGTGTGTTTTACTCGTGAGAGTTTTACCGAAACGGTGCAATCAGATCTCTTCCGAGTTTCATTTGTTGACAGTTTGGGCTTGGATATTTCTTGCTACGTATAATCAGCGAAGGTGCCAGTGCTGTTTTCTTAAAGAGTATTTATTTATCTAAGATTTGAGACCAAGATTATTAAGATTGGTGAAAAATTGATGAATATATGCGCTGATAATTGAGATGCTAGTGATATTTCTATGCAAAATGAAAGTAGAGTAAAATACCTTTATAATATTTTAGTCATAATTTTTTTTTTTTTTTTTTCATAATTTTTTTTTAGGGTTTTGGGTTGTAGAGGGGGAACGGGGGTATAGTGTAAGTCATGGCCACGCAACGTTTATGCACCTGTCAATATTTTGCCCTACCGAGGGGGCGGCGGGCATACACGGGGCTTTAGACAGAAGACCATTCCTGACAGGCGGGAATTTGACAAACTTATGGAATCCGGGTCCCGGGTAATAGACTTTGGCCGGTTTTTAAATCCCGGGACTCGGGAATTTCGACGCCACAAAATAAAAAAGGGGAGTAACTGCGAAAGGTCAAAAGACGACGGCGATATTTTTATTCGTGTTTTTGAAGTTGCAGACATGAAACTTTTCGAGTTTTTCTACGGTAGAGAAAATTGTGTGATATAAAGGCGAGAAGGTTGCCCCAGAATTGGGATTTATTTGCAAAGGTATACAGGGATTGTATTCTTCATTTGTATTCTACCCAGACACTATGTGGAGCCTAGCGGTTTTCATGTTTGTCATCTGTTTTCGCGAATAGACCCTTTTGCGAGTCTGCAAGGCGTTTGAAATCACATGAAACTGACACATATCTCGTATTAATAATACAAAATCCACAAAAGAACGTTCACTTTGCCTGTAGAATATAAACGATTACAGCAGAAAATGTCGTATCGATTGAGATAATCCCTTTAACTGCAGTATGAATGAACTGATCAAGTGAAACAAAACGGATACTCCCATTATAATATCACTCATGCCTATCAAAAAGTGGAAAATTAGGTATTTTGTAGCAAATAAAACTTAATGGATGTACATTTGATCCTTAAATATTATATACCCTTTCTTTGAAAGGTAAATCTTTCATCTATGACTGTATGTTAAAATATTGGTAACTTTCCATGCCTTTCCCTTAGAAAAACATGGCAGAACATACCCACTGAGCCATTTTTTTTGTCATATGAATAGTTTTGTAACAATAAATATCAAGAAGTTCTCTTTAAAAAATGATGTAACATTTATTTTAATGGGAACTGTAAATATTTTAACCTGCAGGCTGCAGCAATAGACAAATGCATAAGTTTTCAGAAAATGTATTATTTTACTGATTTTGATATCTGGTTAATAAGTTTTACTTGCTACAAGTTTTAAGTTTAGCAGGCACGCGTGGTATTTTAACTGGCTAGGAAGAAGCCTATCTCTGTTATCTATGTCTCTGTTAGAATATGATTTTTAATAAAGTAAGAAAATGCATTTAAATACAATGTATGTCAAAACAGATCTAAATAAAATAATATCCTTTTTTCAGATGTATTACCATCATTGTTTTTTATCATTAAGGCTTTGTTCTTATCTGATAAATGTGAATGTATTAAAATGTTGATTTATATTTAAACAGGTGAACATTTGGTTGGACCATTTGACGAGTGTTTCTGCCAAAAGAAAAAGAGGCAAGGCAAAGGCGTCCGAGACACGGTCTTTGAAAAAGGTATTCAGGCACAATGACATTATGAGTTGAATTTCATAAATGATTGCCTCAACATTAAATGAGTCTGAGGCCAAAAAAACTCTTTTTTCTGAAAGCCATACAAAACATAAGGGGTATTGCACTTCTGTGGTCTAAATATGTGTATTTTATCATTGACATGGTGGGGAATCATTGATATGGTGACCTGTGACGTAACATGGTATCTTAAAGTCCCATTATGCATTTGTAAAGTTTATTTGAAATGAAAGAGTACCACACCAATGACAACACGTAGAATTCTGATGTACAAATTTGCATTTGATTTCTTAAAGACATGAAAGAAAATCTTCGAAATACGCTATAAATATATTGCGCTCATGTAGCGCAAATGTAATATTTGGAGGTATGTTTGGATGAAAAAATAATTTCTGAAGAATAGTAATGCGGAAATGAGCCATTTTCTTCAATAAGAGGATAAGTATGATATGTTTATTCAGTAATTGAAATTTTACTCACACAAGCATTATGTTCCTTTAAACTTAAAATTAGTGGATTTTCCTGAAAAAGCACAATATTGTTTAAAATGTCACTGGGGGCTACTGCAAGTCCTGTCAGTTACGCATACTCCAAAATATTTTCTGTTAAACAAAGATATTGACAAAAATTCTCACATGGACACCAGAATCTGAAAGATTATCAATTGCTGCAATACCATGTCATGTGGTCTCCATATCACGTGATTCTCCACCATAATTGCAAGATTAGTTTGATAGACTTAGAACCAGCAGAATTGTTAGAAAATAATGTGTTTTCAAAAAAACAACACACAAAAAACAAAATTCAGTACCAGTTTTGTTCCAATAGAATTTAAAACCACCTACTGTTTTATCTATCAAAAATATATGTTGGAAATCTTTGTTAAGTTGTGCTACTAAATTATTAATTTTTAAACAATCCAGGTTAAAACTTCTATCCAGGCCCAAGCTCCTATCAAGGTTCAAGCTCCTATATATCAAGCTCCCATCCAGGCTCCTGCTCCTATCCAGGTTCTTGAGGAAAGTGCACCAGATTGTGAGTACACCATACAACTTAGCTTAAGAAAATTATGTCAGTTCTTTTTGTAGCTTTGTGTTGAGCTATTATTGTCGTTTCTCCATGAAACTTGGTCAAAATGTTTGGCTGAAATCTCGGCAAAGTTCAAGGTTGGGTCATGTGGGGTCAAAGACTATGTCACTAGGTCAAATCTTAGAAAAAGAATGCAAACACTTTAGAGGCCACATTTTTGGCCCATTTTTAATTAAAGTTAGTGTAAATGTTCAACTCTATGAAATCTAGAACATGTTCAAAATTAAGTCATGAGGGGTCAAAAATTAAGTCACTAGGTCAAATCTTAGAACATTTTTGGTACTAATTTAAATGAAACTTAATAAATTTGAAACCTTAAAGATTATAAAAATGCCCTCTATTTCAGAAAAACAATGTGGAAGTGTCCAGGTTTGGCCGCAGGAGGAGGAAGAATGTCTTTTTAATGACTTTTTGTGTTAAATGTTAAAATAAAATAAGAAGTTAAAGTGTTGTAAGTTTTTAGCTCATCTGAGCTGTGAGCACGAGGCTATTGTGGTCGTGATCGGTGAATGTCTGTCTTCGCAAATCTGGTGTCCTCAACTTTTAGTGTTTTAACACTCCAAGAGGCCACAGATATGGTTCAATTATAATTAAGCTTGGTCAGCATGCTTACCATCCCTACATAAACTGGGTCATGTGGAGTCAGAAACTAGGTTAGTAGGTTTATTTTGTAGCTAAACTATAAAAGTAAAAATATTAAAGAGCTTATACGATCGATTGTGTGTCTGTGTCCGCATTGGTTTGAGTTTTTTAAGTCATACATTCTATTCTATGAAAGATATTTAATTGAAACTAGGTACAGCATTTAGTGGGACTACCACTACCATACTAAGAAGGTATATAACCTTGATGCATTATTTTCAGAATCATGCCCCTTTATTACTTGAAAATACCCATTTTTATAAAAAAATATATGTATCTTCAAAGTCTAATTATTTAAATACTATCAAAGTTATTAAACTACAATTGATACATATATACTCATTGGGAGTGACTATACCTACCTTACTTCTGAGGCCCATTAATCTGGATTCATTATTTTCCTCATGATAAGCCTTTGTACTTATATTGTTCATTGTTTTTCTGATAACAGTTTTATTTATTGATTGATCTATTAGATATTTACCCCCTCCCCTACCCCCGGGGCATTTGATGCACCAAGCAGGCTCAAGGGTGGGGATTTAGACAAAATTGGTTGTCTCTAGGGTGGGGATTTAGACTTCAAACATTTTAAGATGTCAAATTCCCCTGGGTCAGCCCGCCGCCCCCCCCCCCCCGGGCGGGCATAATATTGATAGGTGCATTACCTGTGGTTATAATACGCGTCTAATAAGATTAATTATATCATACACACCACTTAATTACGTATCCATGTAAATACTATAATATATAATATAATATATATTATAGTATTTACATTGATACGTAATCAAGTGGTGTGTACGATATATATACAATCTTGAATCTATAAAACCAAACTGACGATAGATTACGTAATGTCATTCAAACAATAATCCAAAATGGCTGCCGTGTAAGTGCAGTACGTATCATGTAAACGCGCGGCAAATAAAAGTACTCTGTTCATTATATAATTTGCAAAAACAGGCAAACATGAAATAACTTGTTTTTATGACACTTTACACTATTCATATTGCTTGACAGAGTCAAGATTCTTTATTAAGATATGTTTCTTGTTACATGATACAGTTAACATATAAACATATTACACATGACAGATACAAAAAAAGACATGGAGGGTTAAACTCACTGAAATAAAGGAAGTAGGCATAATGAACATACAATTTTACTATTTGATTTTAATCTTAGACTAACTGTATAGGTCTTGAATATGTTTATCATTGATATAATGTCTCTTAAAATTCTTAAATAGAATGGTCGTATGCAGATTTTATGTGAATATGTGTAAATATGTATAAAAATGTATGTATACGAATGAGACAAAAATAAAGTATGAATATATATACAAGCGAATATGAACTATGTACTATTGACATGTAGGATTAAATAACCACTTATAGCAAAAGTAGTTTCTCCTTAGAAATTTGTATCTACTCCAATTACGTGAGCAGCTTTCGCGGATGCATATATATCTTAGGAAAATAATATGCTTAACTTGAGATTGTTGTCTTAAACAATCTCAGGTTACGTGACGTTTTAAAGTGTCTGAATAGAAAGTAGATATTTCACGTTGTCAATTAGGCAGTTTCACTCGGGGTATGTCTATTCGTTTGATGAATAAAATCATGAATAAAATGTGTTCTACTGTCAGCGGGCATCACATTAATAAATTGTCTGTAACACTTGACAGACATTTTTAACACTTGTTTAGTGCCAATTTTCTATAATTTTCGTTAATGAAATGTACTTTTTCTTATATCATTACATTATATTTTAGTATAAAACATTAAATATTTATACAGTATAGGAAGTTTAATAAAGTGTACGGTAAAGAAATCACTCAAGATGTGTTCGATTTTTGAAAAAGACGCATATTTTTTAAAATGGGATATTTTTATAAACTGTGTCTGATGACTCTATAACGGAAGTGTCGATGGCTCTCATTTATGCAGATCACCAACATTAATTTTGAAAGAGCCACTGTTTGGTACGCGTTTACTAAGTTGTCATGCATGTCTATTATGCAAAAAAATCATGCCTATATTTTCCCATCTTCAGAAGAACAATGTAGCTGTTTTTACATTTCAAAGGAAACTTAAGAGAAAACTATAGTTGACAAACAGTATACACAGGAACGACATTTAGTATATTCATTCGGTTTCATAATGTTAATATGAATTCGCGTAAATTTAATTGGAAACTTATCTTTTGAAACAAAATACGCTCAAAACCAACATTATATAACCAGTTTTGTGCTGAACGCATTACGTTTCATATTTTAATAATAATTTACTCACCGTAAATTAGCACTAGAAGCACATCGGCAGTAACAATAAGAACTCCAGGACATCTTCATTTGAAAAAATCGGGTATAAATTTATTTGCTTGGGCTTTACGTTTACAACTTTCCATTATACTTAGGCAATTGAGTAGATAAAAATGAAAAGGTCAATATGTTATATATGTATTCTTTATTATAGTCTGATCTATACATACATAGATCTATAAAATTAAAACAATATACATACAGTAAATTGTACAGCCATTCTTTTAAGAATTATAGCAGACTGTAACGTCATAGTTTATAAGAGGGGCAACTCCACAGTCCACATTACATATGTACAAATGAGCAAGTAATTTGGAAATTTTACTCTAAACTACCAGATTTTAATCAACGGACTACAAAGCTTTTCTGGCACATAATACAATATGTAAGGCAATCATGGTCATCAAAATTTAATTTAGCATTACAAACTCCCTTTTTAAAGATAAAAATACCATATTTCACGA